GAATGTCTGTTAGTGTAAAGTGCTTTGGGGTCCGGAGGGACTTGAAAAGCGCTCTATAAGTTCAGTACCATTTACCATTTAGTTTTACCTGGAAATTAATTATTAGGATCTCTGGAAGGAAAGCAGGCCTGCTCAAATCAAGTTTTATCTGACTCCAGTGGGTTTGATCCCAGGCTGTGATGGAAATGATTTTAAGCTAACCAGGAAGTATCTGTGTATTCTTTCTACCGATAATCTGAGAGAGCCATCAGCAGGGGCAGGTCTGCCTGAGGAATGGATGCAGAAAACAGGCTGGTGTTCCTTGCTGGAAGTTTGTAATTAGTTGTTGACAGCTTTACATGTAAGCAAGTTGTCATTTCAGTTTGTTATTTCTAAAAGTTTTGGTTTGAATGGCATTTAGGTCTCAGAACAGCTGTGATTTTATTCAAAAATGAGGAATTCATGATGTAGTTCTGCACATTGTAAGTAATAAATAGCAACTCAAGGCCACTGGGTGTTGCAAGAGAGTTAAAAAAAACCCTGATATGATTCAAACAAACACACAATTATCACATTACCACCGACACTTTTCTACCTGTCACTGTGAGGTGAGTCTCTTAGAGAGTCGTAAGAATCCCCATACTGCATCCCCATCCTGGACCCGTCTGTGCAGCCCCAGTGGGCGGCCCTCCTCGCCATGCATGCTGGGCTGCTGCACTTACTGGTTCCCACAGAGCTGGAGAGTCCACCCGACTGGCAGTCTGAGTTCACACTCTCTGTTCGCTCCATGCTCCACGTCTGCTCCTCGTGTCTGCAGGTGTGGGTGTGAAACAAGTTTGAAATGTTAGAGCGGCACTGACGGAGGACGGAGGACACTGAGGAGCTGCGTCAGCATAACACCATCGATTTGCTGGACACTGCATCCACTTTGCTGAACCTGTACCTCTGTGTTTACTGACCATGATAACTTCAGTGACAGTTTAAATATCCTGATGTCCCGAACCTGTTGAACATCGCTGTTTGAACATCGCTGTTTGAACGACTCTTAAGGGATCCGATTAGTTGTAACATTAGACTTTATTTGATAACGTAGGCTCCATTTTTTATTTGTTTTGCTCATGAACAATAATAGTTACAATCCAAACTACTATTTTAAAAATGTTATGTACAGTGTTAAAGGGATCCCCGATTATTTGTAACATTAGACTTTATTTAATAAACATATAT